ATAAGATCCCTACACATGGGGCCTGACACATGGTAAGTGTTCAGTGATTAGTGAGATCCCTACGGCCTTGGCCTCCTGCAACACGCCTCCAGTGGGGTGCCCCTGAGCTTTCCTGTGCCACAGAACAGAGGCCAAGTCACTTCCTGGGACCAGCAGTCAGACCTTGGTTTCTGTGAAGGGAAGACGGCCCGCTTTGAGGCTGTTGGCCGTGCTGTTTTATGGCACGACCGATTTCCTGGGAGGCTGGGTCAAGGCCGGCAGGTGGTGTGTGCGCGTGCGCAGAGCGGCTCCCTAGCTTCCCTCTGGGTTTCCCCAGCCGCACAGGCTGTTGTAAAAAAAAAAAACACCCCAAAAAACCCCCAACCCTTCCCAAGCTGGCTGGGTGATCCCACCAGGGCCAGGGTGACCAAGGCAGAGATGGCATTCCTAAGTGGCTTGTATGCCACCACCCAACCTCCAGCTCCTACTGGCACCAGCGCTCGGCTCGGTCCCCTGGGGACTCTGCCATGTCCGCTGCCTGCCTGCCCAGGCCAGTACTGCCACCCACATCTTACTCAGCTCTGGTCAGTGTCCGGCCGCTCTGAGAGGCCTGGAGGAATGGGGACGGTATCAGTCAAACACAGCCGAATTAAGAACCCGGTAGCACCAAATCCAACCCTGCTGTTCCGAGCAGCTGAAGTGACGCTTTGCATTATCTGCGTCAGTGAGTGAGGATGGATAACGGAACAGCAGGCCTGATTCTCCTGGAATACATGAGGATTTCTCCAGGGGGCTGTTCTTCCCCGGACAGGGGGAAGCTGTGAGGCATCCTGCCCCCACCCAGTGGCTGAACTGACTCCTAGCACCGGACGCTCACTCAGCTACTCTCCTGCTCAAGAACCTGCTGTGGCTGGACTGTGTGTCACGTCCAAACTGCCTCACCTTCTTAGTACATCAGCCTCACCCCACCCTACTCTCTCTGGCCCGTGCCCACCCAGCTCCTCACTTTGCGAGCATTCCAACCTCTGCATCTTTGGTTTTACTCTGCCTCCCACCTGGAATGACCTTGCTCTCAGCTGCTGTCATTTTCAAGACAGCCTCCCCGCTGAAGCCCTCCCTGACAACCCCAGCCCATTTGAGCTTTCCCTTCTCTTACCAGCCAGCATCAGACACCAAGTGCTGTATGTCCTCTGATTGAGTGTGTGGAGTGGGCACTGGAAGCAGATAAACATGACCTTGCTCCGTCCCTTCCTGGCTGGGTAATCCTGAGAGAGCTACTTCCCCTCTCTGAGCCTCAGTTTCTCCCCATCTATGGGAGGAAATAGTCGCTTTCACAGGACTGTGGTGTATAAAATACTTTTCACTCCCAGCTCACCCGGTCCAGTCCTCTCTTTTTACAGATGGGAGACTGAGGTTCAGTGAAATGCCCAGATCCATGTCTTCAGTTAATGACAAAAGCAAGGCTGCCACTCTGGAATCAGGGGCTCATCTGGTGGCAGGGTGCATCTTCCCTAGCAACAGGTGGCATCCTGTCCTTTGAATGCGGTTACATTACTTTCCCTGGCAAGAGTCTTCCATCCTTTGGTACCGTCTTGGAACTACAGGCGCCCAGGAGAGAGCCAGGAGTGGCCAAGGGCCCGGCACTGTCGGGGAGGGTTGAGGGGCAGGGTGGCCTGGGGCCCGGGCCCCTTCTGTGCCTCAGCCAGGTGTGAGGAAGAGCCGGGCAGAGGAGGGGGCTCCCGGTCTTCTGGAGATGAGCCCGATTCCAGAGGGGCGCAAGGCTAGTGACTGTACACCAGGGGGTGACAGAGAGCTCCCTGAGCAGCGGCAGTGTGGGGACCAACTAGAAAAGTGGGCAAAGTCCAGTTGATGCCATCTGAGCAGGAGGCACCACTGGTTAGTAAACAGCCACTGCCCCGAGTCCCTGAAGTGTTCCCTACGCTGCCATCATTTATTCTGATGGGCCTGACTACATCTTACCAGTTGATAGACAATATCGCCCCCCCAAAGGAGAAGGCTGCTGATTGTCAACAGTAGCTCATTTTGGGGGCTTCTGGAGCAGTTGGAGCGGAGGTGATGGCACGGCTCTGTCACCCAGCCTGGCCCTCTGAAGATCTGCTTGTCACACCCTCTTTAGAGCAGCTGGTCCCATTTCCACGGTGCCCTGGCCCGTGTTCACAAGGCAGCTTTCTCTCCTCAAGTACCAACTGTGTGCAGAGCAGCCGGAAACCTCTCTCACACTGCTGGGCAGGTGGGGCTGGCACTTGGGACGTTGGAGCCAGGAAAGGATTAGTAACCAGGCAGCGGGCGGTGGCTCAGAGCCGCCTGGGTGAGCAGCGAGGCCGGCCACTCCCTGCCGAGAAGCAAGCAAGAGGTGGTAGGGGGAGCTGCTCCAGCAGCAAGAGGCAGACGTCCACGTGCACCCCAAATGGTCACAGTGACATCTGTTGCCCTGAAATGGAGACCCACAGGGTCGGGGTAGCACCCTTACTGTTGAGAAGCGGGCACGTGGGCGCCCAGGACCACGGAGGACTCGGGGCCCTGGAGGGCGGATGGGCACACGTGCTGGCTAGCAGACACCAGCCTAGCGGCTTAGGACAGGAAGCCATCTGACAGGAAGCACTGAGTGCCAGATCCCTGTGGGGCCCCCAGAGCAGTTGTGGGGAGGGGTGCAGGTGGACGAGACAGAGTTAATCTGAAGAGCATCAGGGCAGCTCCCTCCAGAAGGTGACCTTGTGTACTCGGACAGCTGTCACCCGTGCTGGGCATCTTTGGGGCACAAAGGGCGGCCGGCTGGGCCAAGGCCGGTCAGTTCTGGGGAAACCGGCCAAGGCCTTCCCTGTGGCTTGCTCTGCTCCCCCACCCCCTTCCTGGGGAGGCATGCTCTCTCCTCTAATCCCTTCCCTTTGCATCTCAGGCTCTGGAGAACAGGTGAGTGATAGGCTGGCCCACGCTGGATGCTCTCTCAGACTACCGAGGAGCCTTAGCTGGCCACCTGCGACCCTCATCTTCCCCACTGGTCAGTCTCCCATGGACAAAGGGATAGGTCCTGAGATGAGATATCCCTGCTTTCCCCTCTTCAGATTCCCTGCCTCTTCCTTCTATATAAAGAATCCTGACTGGATGTGAGTAGGAGCCCATTTGCATGGAGATTAGTTGATCAGGATAAGGTCATCGTTCCTGAGGCTTTAACTGGGGGTCCATGAGCACTCCGGAACCCCCACACTCCCACTGTCACAGCCCACCGAATGCCCGGACCCCCTTCCCCTGGCCCAGGTGAGCTGAGTGCACCGGCCAAATCCCTGCTCCTGACGCCTCCTGCAGAGGCACCGAATGCCAAGTTCTGAGCCACTTCCAAATCACTTCTGTCATTGCCCGTGCTTCTGATAAGCCAGAGCTGGAAAGGCCACATGGACTTTAGTGTTCTCCATGTGTTTCCTTAGCTCTGGGCCTTCTATGACCCTGAAGGGGGTCCCTTAGAAGAGCATCACAGGTCACTTGACAAGTTCCAAGGGTGCCAATGTCTCTCTCTTGGAACTTACAGAGAACAAGGGTCATTTTATAACTAAAGTGTTTATTTCCATTCAATTCACTAACCAATTGGTCCACTCAGGTGCCTGCGTTTGCTCATAGGAGGGAGACTGGCCAGACCCCTTGGCGGATGGGTTTTCCTATGGCCAAGACCCTTCCAATCTGGGCAGCGGTCCGGAGGAGGGAAGCGGGTGGGAGAGCAACCACGCACTTTCTCCTTGGGAGGAAAGGCGCATGCCTGGACGTCTCTGAGGGTGATGCTCTGGAGGCTGGGATATCACAGTGAAAGAGCCTGGGCCTCCGATGCAGCCGGGTTTAGGCTCCCAGAGGGGTAACTGGGCTCTGGCCATCGGAGGGCATTCAGGAACCTCAAAGGGGCCTATTTGCCTGGAAAGTACTGGATATACTAGGGCAGGAGAGTGGACAAGTGGGTGGAGGATTCTGGCTCTGCAGCCTCAGAGCCTGTACTTCCTGCTCAAACTGTTGCTTTCAAAAACAGTCCTGGGGGAGGGGATGCTGCTCCACCTTGGCCCCCACCTCTGCCCAAATCTCAGTCTGTGAATGGCCCAGATGGCCCTGTGGCAGTTGGCTTTGGTGAGGCCTGGCAGCGGGTGGGAACTCTATTCAGGGAGAGGAGGGAAGGGTGTCAATGAAAACCATATAAAAATCCAGAAATGTGCATATAAAATCTCGCCCTTGGTGTATTGCCTAAGTCAGTAAGCAGAAAGCACCTTCTTCCTGGAGAAGGATCAAGTCCTCAAAAGGTAGGAAATGTCAAAGTGTCACTTCATTGTCATTAAAAAAAAAACCCCAACAAACAAACCCCCAAACCAAATTCACCCCTGACCAAAATACCCCCAGTCCACGGATCGCTGTAAACAAACCCAGATGCAGGATCCACCCTCCTCAGTGGCAGTCGTAGCTGATGGCAGTCACTGCAGCGTCAGTCCTCCAGGTGGGGGCTGTCGGGAGTGGGCACTCAGCGGGCCGGGCCACCGGCTGTGGGCGTGACGCGGACGTGGAGCCGCCGACCTGGGGGGTGGCCAGCCTCAGGAAGGCTGGCCTTTCTGGTGTCCCTGTGTGCTCCCTGACCCAGGAAGACAGGAGTCCCTTTTCAGCCCCATGAGCCAACAGGAGAAGCAAGTCTCTTTCACTGGAGTTTCTAAAATATTCTCCAAAGATGAGAAAATTCTTCTGTTTGCCCAGTGGCAGCAGGAGTGGATGTTCCCAGAGTGGTGCCCAGTGGCTGCCCGTCTGTCTGCCGGGCACATGGCTGTTGAGCAAAGCTTGAAGGAGCAGCCTGGGGACAGGAGAGGAGGGTGGCCCTGGTCTCTCCCCTTCACATTTATTTTCCTGAAAGTGTTCCTTGGCTCCGGCCAGGTCGCCTCCCCAGAGGGAGCTGGAGAGAAACTGCTTCTGGTCTCCAACTGGACAAATCGCACGACTCTCCCGAGCCCTTTTCCCCCCCCAAGAACAATGATCGCTTTCCTTAAGAGAATCCTCTTTAAAAAATATTCCTTGTATTTCCCCGCCCCCTCCCAGGATCTATTTTCTTTTGCCCCCATTCCCATTTTTTTTCCATCATCTGAGTTCCACGTGTTCTTGGTGACGTCTGGTGGCTGGCACGCTGCTTGGTTCTTCCTGTTGCTGTGGCCTCCTGGCAGGTGGCTGACCCTTCAGTGGTCAGAGAACCAGGGGGGCCAGCGTGTGGGGGGGAGGGGGCAGGGCCTGGAGGAAGAGGTGAGCCGAGGTTGGTGAACGTCAAACCTCCACAGACTGGATCTGGTTCATCTGTGCCCGCATCACTTGGATACTGTTCAGGATTTTTTTCTGGTGGCCAGCCAAGGTGACCCCAACCCGGAGAATGTCCCTTTGGGAGAGAAGCATGTGTGTTAGGGAAATGTGGGGGTGGAGGGGACTTCGGGCCAGGTGGAGAGCTGTCTGGGCCTCTCCTGGGGTTTCCTGCCAAAGAGGGTAAGGGAAGGGGGGAGGGGCGTGGGGGAGTGGGCAGGCTTCCCGAGCTGAAGTGAGGGACTATGTGAGGTAGAAGGGGCCCGTGGCTAGAGTCAGGGCACCTAGATGCGCTTGTCCCCTCTGCTTTGGGGAAGGGGAAGGGAACCTGCATTTACTCCTTTGGCCTGTATCTCCTCTGGTCTTCCTACAAACCCCCAGTTTTACAGAGGAAAAAACTGGGGCTGAGGGAGGTTCTGTGATTTGCCCAAGATCACACAGCCAGTAGGTGGAAGGCAGGCCTGGGTGTTGATGGGAATGTGACTCCAAAGTTGGCCGGTGTGATCACTCCTTGGTCCCCATATTCCTGCTGGGACTTTGTCTATTTTTCATTTTCTGGGGCCCCCCACTTGGTAGGGTGAGTGCAGGCAGCTAGGCACTTACTCCATCATCATCTGTGAGACGACATCGAAGGAGGTGAAGCCAGCGTTGGCGAAGCTCTCCTTGTACTGCCCCATCTTGATGGCCTCCAGCCACTCGTCCACTGTGTTAAAGCTGGTGTAGTCCGGGATCGTGCGGTCGAGCAGCGGCAGGTTGATCCTAGGGTGGGGTGGGCAACAGAGACGGTGGGTCAGGGCACATGCGGGGACGGGGGTAAGGAAAAGGATGGGCTGCCGCTGTACCTGCACGTGTGCATCCATCAGCGTGAACACAGGTGAGTGTGTATGCATGTACTTCTGTGTGGGTAGGTGTGCATTTGAACCCGTGCAAATGTGCACACATGTATGTGTATGAGAAAGCTGGGCGACCTGGAAAGTCTGGGGAAGTCTCTGTAGGGACTGCTGAGAGGCTGGCCCATGGGTGAGGCGGGACACCCCCTTTACACTTCTGGTTTCAGCAGGAGGGAGCTCAGCTGGACTAAGTGCTGGTTGTTCCCTGTCTCTGCCTCCAATGCCATTCTCCAACCTTGTGCACCCTGGTTGTGCCATAGGAAGCTGTCTTGTGGACCACATCTCCAAAGTTCAGACAAAGCTAGTCCATTAATGGGAACGACTTCCTGGCTGGCTCTGAGTGAAATGACCCTCATTAGACTAAAAGCTCACAGTACTTGTATCTGGAGAGTCCGGAGCCGCTGACTCAGGGTCAAGGTGAGAAGCGACAGGTAGAGGCGGACACAAAGATCTGTTGGCCACAAGAACTTGGCAGGTGAAGGGCTTGGGCCCAAAAAGTCTCTGGACACAGCCAGCCCTGGACCCTGAGGACATCTGACTGGACACCTGCCCCTCAGAATCCCTGTGTGAGTGAGGGACCCGGAAAGTGGAGGATCATGGGTGGGGCCTGTGGCAGCGCCCAAGCAAGGCAGTGGTGGCTACAGGCCAGTGTGGGGGGTGAGTACACACTGTGCGCTCAGGTCCCTATGGATGTGTGTAAGTGTGGGTCTGAGAATGGGTGTGTGTCCCTGTGTTAGAGTGTGTGTGTGTGTGTGTGTGTGTGTGTGTGAACATAAGCATGAGCATTTGGGCCCATGTTCATGGATATGATTAGAACTATGTTCTTGTGTGTGTGCATATGTGTAGGACTATGTTCTTGTGTGTGCGTGGCTGTGTCAAAGAGGACCCAAACGCAAGTCGGAGAGTACAGGTTTGAGTGTGTGGGTAGTTAGGGAGGAAACTTGGTGATGAGTAAACCTATTCACCAACGAAGATTCTGCTAATTTTATCAATGGTGTCCCATCTGACCATGCTTTAAAAGTGCTTCCCCGACCACCCAGCAGGCACTGTGTCCTGCACTCCTCTGCACTCAAGGGAGTATGGACGCCCAGCAAACTATCCTTCCCCGCCTCACTTAGGCAGAGCATCTGCCTGCAGCAGGGGGAGCTGGGGTGGGAGGGTATTTGCAGAGGCTAAGGGCCAGCTGCAGCAGGGCCATACAGAGAGAGGGCAGGGCCAGGCCATACCCGGAGGAGAGGGGCGCCATGGCTTTGAGGCTGTTGGGGTTGCGGATCATCTTGTCCAGCGTGTTGACGATCTGACCGAACTTGGGCCGGTGGTTGCGGTCCTTCTGCCAGCAGTCCAGCATGAGCTGGTGCAGGGCGCTTGGGCAGTCCATGGGCGGTGGCAGCCGGTAGTCCTGCTCTATGGCATTGATTACCTGGGGACAACACAAGCGCTGAGTGGGGCTGGGCGGGTGGGTAAGAGCATCTGCCCTCCGGCCTGGCCTATCTTGCCCCCAGTGCGCTTCAGAACACGCCTCTTTGGTTGCCCTCCACCTCTTCCAGGCAGCCCCAGGGATGCACCTCACCTGGGTGGCCACCAGGGATAGATAGCATCAATCTGACCCGGCGGCTGGGGGCTTGCCTCCCCCTGCCCCAATATTGGGACATGAGAGCTCCAGAACCCTGCACTAGCTTCCCAGGACCTACCCTCCCTCCTGCCTCTGAGCCCTCTCCTGGCTTTGATGGTACTGAGGACTCCTCCTGCTGACGCTTGACCCCAGAGTGACCACACTCTTGATTTTAGTGCCATTTACAACTCCAAGTGAGAGACACCTTCCTTGTCAGGCCTCATAGCACAGCCTTGTACCCCCTTCCCATTTCCCCCAACTGGCTCCTCTGTCAGGGAAAAAGGAGCTCCAACGCCCCCTCCGATCTGTCCCCCCATCAGGGCCAGACTCATCTTCCCAGCTTGACGGTGGGGGGGCAGGGGGTCACCCTCCCTATTCAAGAAGCTTCTTCAAGTACTCCTTACTCTGCATTGTTGTAAATTGGAATGCCTCAAGTTGACTTTCAAACACCCCATTGCTGAACCTCACCAACATTTCCAACCAGCTTTCCTCTCCACTGCTCCCCAACCCAACCCCCCCTCACCCCACTGCTGGGCCACGGCTCAGGCTGCTTCTTCCACTGGGATCCCTCACGCCTGCAAGTCCCGCACTGTGTGAGTGCCCTGTCCCATGAAGGCTTCCTGGCTGATCTTGCCCACGCTGCTCTTGCCTCTACACCTGCCTTCTCCAGTTTAGCACCTGATTATAACAGTTCCTGATAACTCCATCTGGTTCCTGGTATAATCATATTGCCCCCAAATTAAACACCTAAGTGGCAGACATAGTCTCATTCAGGGCTGGCCACGAGGTGAATACATCCTAAAGATCTGCTGATTTGTTGATGGACTTTTCCTACTCCTGACCCCTGGAAAGTCCTGTGCAGACAGGACCCGTGCAGGGCCTGAATCAGATCTGGGCCCTGCCCTGGCCTGGGATCTCAGAGCCCTTGCTCCCACTCTCCCGGAGATGACCGAAAGACCAGGAATGCTAGATCCTCCCCTCCATGATTGGCTGGTCAGAGAGGTGCTTTCTCGGTGACTTACATCCTGGTTGGTCATGTCCCAGTACGGCCGCTCCCCGTAGGACATCACCTCCCACATGACGATACCGTAGCTCCACACGTCGCTGGCTGAGGTGAACTTCCGGTACTGAATGGCTTCTGGGGCCGTCCAGCGGATGGGGATCTTCCCACCCTGTGCAACAGAACGAGGAGGGTTGAGAGGTGGGAGGCTGACCAGTCTGGCTTCTGCTCTCAATACACGTGCTTCTACCACGTTCCCTGCGCGGCACGACTCATGTGAAGCATCTCAGTTCCCCAAACTCTTCTCACTGCTTCCGACCTCCAGGCATTTGCATGTGCTATTCCTCTAAAAGCATGAAGGGCCTTTTCCCACTCTGCCTTCTGGAAACCTCCTTCTCATCTTTTAAGTCCCTCTGAAGTCTTTCCTTAAGTCCCAAAGAGGTGCTCGCTCTGTTTAATCCTACAGCTGGGCCCTATATCTCTCCATCAAGGAGGCGCTTCTCACGCAGAGCAGTGCTTGGGTCCTTTGCTCCTCGCCTTGCTCCGACTGCACTACCTCCGAGCTCTTTGAGGGCAGAGACTGCGTCCTATTCCTTTCTGTTTAAAACCCTTCAACACCTCTAACTGCTTTCAGGAGAGGGTTGTGAGCGTGGGCATTCAGGATCTCTGAGATCTGGCCCTGCCTATCCTCCCACGTTCTTGCTCACCACCTTTCCTCTCACAGCCTGTATTCCAGTGTCACTTTGCCATGAGAACATGACCTCTGACAAGCTTTTACTGGCCCTTCAGTTTTCAGCTTGGGCATCATCATCCCTTCTAGGAAGCCTTTCTCTGCCTCCAAAAGCTGGTGTCCTGGTCAACCACAGCCCTGCCACTTCATGTTGCTCTGTACATGTGTCCCCAGCACCCGGTGAGCTTCAAGAGGTCAGGAATCATGTTTATGTCCCTGTATCTGCAGGCCCAGCACAGCGTCAGCAGGAGCAGGTGTCCATGAAAACGCATGGCAGGGAGAGATGGATATGTACGCCCTTTTTCCTGACAGTTTCTAATGTTTCCCACCTCCATCTTACCAGGGCACTGGTGTAGGTGGGGTCCGAGGTATCATCCTCCAGAAAGCGCGAGAGGCCAAAGTCAGACACCTTGCAGACCAGGTTGCTGTTGACGAGGATGTTGCGGGCGGCCAGGTCGCGGTGGACGTAGTTCATGTCTGCCAGGTACTTCATGCCAGCTGCGATGCCCCGCAGCATGCCCACCAGCTGGATGACCGTGAACTGCCCATCGTTTTGCTTCAGGAAGGGTGGAGAAAGTGCAGAATAAATGGAAGGGCATGAATTGGACTCTGGATCACCTTCACAATGGTCAACGAGGACCCTGCCACCCTGGTCTAGGCTCCATGTGGGAAGGGCTCAGGTGCTTGGAGACCATGGGTACAGGAGAGAACAGACTCAGGGTGGTGGAGAGATCACAGACTGTGCAGCAGACACAGCTGGTTTCAATCTGCCTCTACCCCTTGCTAGCTATGCGACCTTGGACAAGTGACCTAGTCTCTCTGAGTCTCAGGTTCCTCATCTGTGTGTTAAATGGGGATAAGTGACATCCACCTCCCAGTGGAATCTGAGTTAAAAGAGAGGGTGCATGGAAGGGGCCTGGTACATACTAGGCGCTTGAAAAATATTTGCTAAACGGCAATGGGTCCAATGGCGTGCTTCTGACTCCTGGTCAGCGTTCTTAGTCTGTCTGGTTGACTGCGACCTCCTAGGGGGCCTGAAACATTCCTGTTGGCCCTGTGCTCTGAACTCCTCCCTCTGGCCTATACTGCTTTGGAGGAATTCAAAATCCAGTGAAAATTCTGGACCAGAGGTCAAGAGACCTGGCCCTCTGGACGACCCTGGGCAAACTCCTTCTTTGAACCTCATTTTTCTCTTGTGCATAATGAGAAGGCTGTCTGAGAGCAGAGATGGCAACAGCGTTCAGGTTCCATGCCAGCTCTGATCAACTGGTTGTGGTTTCCTGGATTGAGAAGGATTCTGAGATTTGCTTTGTGTGTGGTTGGAAAGACTTCTGGGGTTTATTAGCAATGCCTGCTGTGGGTAAGGGAATGGAAAGTGGCAACATGCCAGCCATTCCTGATCTAGATGTTTTCGCAGACCCTTTCAGGTTCTGACAGTATGAAGCTATGTCCACCACTCCTTTTCCTGCCCCAGTCATGGTCCCTGACACTCTTGGCTTCCCCTACCCGGAGGAAGGAGTCCAGAGAGCCATTCTCCATGAATTCAGTGATGATCATCACTGGTGTGCTCTTGGTGACAACACCCTCCAGGTGAATGACGTTGGGGTGGTCGAACTGGCCCATGATGGAGGCCTCACTCAGGAAGTCCCGGCGCTGCTTCTCAGTATAGCCCGACTTGAGCGTCTTGATGGCTACAAAGATCTCTCTCTTGCCTGGCAGTTTCAGGTGGCCACTGCATACCTCACCAAACTCCCCTGGACAGACACACCAAGAGAAGCAAAATGTCACTTGCCAGGTGAAATGTCACCCCCCTGTTCCCTGTAAGTTCCACTCCTATGGCCTATTTAATGGCCAACTCATCCTCTTGCACACAGAACCCCTTTGTAGAATATGGGGGCCCAAGAAAGTCCCAGCCATCTTAAAGAGTGAGAGTAAAGTCTTCATGGCTGTCCATGGTATTTGGGTGGGCATCGGGCGAGGGGGCAGGGGAGCCTGGAGAGAGGGAGGGAGGGACAGGGGATGAATGGTGTGAAGGACAAAGCACTGGACTGACTGAGTCTGGAGACCTGGTTCCAGGCTCAGCTCAGTCTCTGATGTGATGTGCAAGCTCCTCCCCAGTCCCGTGCCTCAGTTTCCCTATCTGTTGATGGGGTACTTTTACTGGATGACTGTTGAGGACCTTTTCCACCTTAGGCATTCTGAACTTCCAGGCCCTGGAGTGTTCTCTGCGGCTCCTGCCCCACATCTACCCTCTGTCCGAGAAGCACACATTGGGGTGTTCACCCTGCCCATGGCTGAGGCCACAGCACCAGCCGCCTACCTGCTCCGATCACCTGCTCAATTTTGACACAGGAGATGTCAATTTCCTTGGCAAACTCCCGCACCGCGTCATTGGGGTCCTCGTAGGTGAAAGGGTCGATGTAGATCTTCATGCCTGGGGTCACTGGGGGATAAGACCAGGCCTGGTCACATGCACAGACTCAAGATGTAGACAAATGGAAAGGCAAGAGCCAGTCCATCCCCCTATATATAGAGGGAAATATACTCCCATGTGGCCCCCCTAAGCACTGGGCAACCCCATGCAGGTCACTCGACCTCTCTGGGCCTTAGTGAGCAGATGGACACTGAGAAGAAGGGTGAGGGGAACAGATTGCTCAGCAAGGATAGCAATTAGGTTCTAGCTCTTGTTCGAACTCTGACTGACTTGTAATGAATTCCTGGAGCTGCTGAAAGACTATTAGGATTGATTAGCAATGTCTGTGGGCATAAAAGGAAGAAAAGGATGGAAAAGTTTGTCACTCTCCTGACAGAGAAGCAGGGGGTCCAGAGTAAAGGAAAAGGAAATCAAGAAGGAAGGGAGAGAACTGTAACAAAAGAGCAGGCAACAGACCACGTTCTTGGGCTTCTGCCAAGGAGGTCTCCCTATATTTCAAGGCCTAATTCAAGCCTCCGCTCCCCTCAGGAGACTTTGGCTACCTCAGCCCTCCTCAGCAGCCCCAGAGCCTGGAGGGCTGCCTCACCAGGGTCTGAGTACCCATGGCTCCTGGGACCACCTCCTGGGTCCCCCCAATTAGTCAAGTCTTAAGCCTTCCTGGATCTCCAGTTCCCCGATGATCAGCTTTAGGCAGGACATGGATATATGAATTCTTGATCTGCTGTGAATTTTTATTTTTTGAGGCAGAGGAAGGAAGGAGGTGACTTGGATATTAAAGACTCAATTTTGACCTCAGCGCGGAGTCCACAAAAGCTTTGAAAGAAGGGAAAGAGGATCCATCCTTCATGCGCCTCCGAGATAACTGGCCTTCTGCCGCCCAGGCCATCTGGCCCTCCCCCAGCCCAGACCTCCCTCTGGTTTCCCCAGCTCCCTGCCCACACTCTCCTGCTGCTCCCGGAGCTGTGACTTTTTGACAGCAGCTCTAGGAGTTGGGAGCCAGAGTCCTTGGGGCATAGTAAAGCTTGGCTGGTTGGTGAGTGGGGCCATCAACCCTGTTCAGCTGTGTGACCTTGGACATATTAGTTGACCACTCTCAGCCTCTGTTTCAGTCATTCCAGGAATTTAGGAGGCAGAACCTCTAAAGGGGGATTGACAAACTGGCCCATTATCTGTTTCGTAATAAGGTTTTATAAATAAAGTTTTATTGGGACACAGCCAGACACATCCCTTTGCCTGTGGCTGCTTTCATATTACAGTGACTGAGTTAAGTAGTTAAAACAGAGACCATATGGCTTGAAAACCTGAAGTATTTACTATCTGGCCCTTTATGGAAAAGTTTGCCAACTGCTGCTTTTACACACGCGAGCTTTATTTTGGATTATTTGTCTGTCTAGCCCTTTAAATCAGGGTTTCTTAATTTGAGTCTGTGAACTACCTGGAAGTCCCAGGGTAGGTTTTGGGATGGGACAGGGGTTAGAGTCTGGTAACCTCTTAAAACAGAATGCATTTATTATTATTGCCTTTTTGAATTAGAAAAGTAATTAATATTCCTGATAGCCCGAACACTCTGGAAATAAATATTGCTGAGAGTAAAAGTTTTCCAAAATCTATCCCTGAGTATAGATTTTTCTAGATTTTCCTATCTTGTAATTTTATATATACACATACCCCAACTTTTGATTCTCTGGCCATAGTATCCAAAACATTTAGCAGCCTCAGAGGAGCCTAAGACCACACCACCTCAAAGAGGTTAAGAACCACCATCCTAGACCGTGGGAGCCTGGGAGGAGGGGTGGGCATGTGATCTTTCCCCATGCCTCCCTCCCCTGGCGCACCGCAAAAAGCTGTGCACACAATAGACACACAATGTCTGTAGCGCTGAGCAGACTCCAGATGACAGAGATAGAATAGCAGCTGCCACTTACTGAGCCCTTTGTCTGTGCCCAACACTGTGCCAGCCTCTTGATATGCATTATCCCATCTCCTCTGCCCGACAACTCTGGGAGGAAGGGATCATTATTCTCATTACACGCATGAGGAAACTGCAGCTCTGAGAGGCAAGTTGTATGCCCAAGGCCACAGAGCTAGCAAAGGGCACAGCCAGGATTTGAACCCAGGTCTGCCAGACTTGAGCCAAGGGCTTGTACTCTTAATCACCATGCTCTCTGCCTTCTGGTGGAAATCCAACTCAATCTGCTCCACGCGTCCTCCTCCTGGAGTATTCCGCCATGACTCTTCCTTCCCCGAGTCAGCCCCGCTCAGAGCAGGGACACGAGCTCTCTGGAGGTGCTGCTTTTTTCTTTTTTCTTTTTGCTTGCTCAGACTCAGTGACCAGCCTGTGGGTCTTGGGGACTAACTTTTAGCCTCCTTCCTACCAGAACTGGGGGAAGCCTTTTCTGCCAGGGCAGCTCAGGAAGCTAAGGAGAAGCACAGTAGGAGCTGCCAACCGATCAGACGCTCTCCCCAAGCCTTGGCCGGGAGTGTTGATAAGGAGGGCTCTCTAGTGCTCATAGGACAGAGGCCAGTGCCTTCACCTGGCATTCCAAGCCCTCAGTGATGGGCCTCACCAACAGCTCCTGGTCTCCTACATGCCAGCAAAAAGGAATCATTCACCCAGAGGCCCCGGACACACCTCATAATTCCTTGCCTCCATGCTTTTGTTCAGGTAGTTCCCTTCACCTGGAACACCCTTCTCTTCCTCTGTGTCCAGATCAAACGCCGCCTCCTCTGTGAAGCCTGCCTGCATCCCTCCAGAGGAGACTCATACTTTCTCCTCAGGCTCCCGCAGCTCTGCCTCCATACCTACTCCTACGGTCCTGATGTCTGTATGGTTTTTTTTTTTGTTTTTTTTTTTTACCTCGTATCAGGGCTTCCAGATATGCATGCCCAGAACCCACACCCCCTTCTGTTCCAGTGCTTTGAAAAAAAAAACAGAGTCCTGCTCAGATGCAGGGAGTGAGCTTGAGCTTTAGAATGTGTTGCTCTATGGACAAATCCTGGGGTCTATTTTTAAAACAAGTCCCTGCTGTCATCTTTTTTCTTGTTACGACTCAAGCTCTAAATAGTGATGCTCCCAAATGGCTCCAGGTGACAGCGTGTGCGAGCCTATCTAATTCTAGCTCAGTCAGGTGTAGACAGCGCAGTGTGGCTACGAGTGGGCCCTCTGGGGTTAGACACCCTGGGTTCACACCCCAGCTCCCGCCCTGAGCAGCTGGGTGATCTCTATGTGCCTGTCTACTCATACTCACAGTGGGAAGCTACAAGGATTAAATGAGTCAATACATGAAAAGCATTAAAATAATTCTCGGCTCATAGAGCACAGTCAATATGTTTAGCCACATCTACGATCATGATTTTGTTACTTGGGGAATAGGAGGGCGTAATGTCATTTATGACTTTTAATGTACAGGTGATTTTTATTTCTGTGTAGTTAAATTTTTCTGCCTTTTCCATGTGATCCTTCCATTGCTTTTATGCCTAGAAGGCCCTTTTCCATCCACGTATCAGTTTAAATAGTTACCTAAATTGTCTTCTGGAAATTTTAACGGTTTAATCATTTTTATATTTATGTCTACAGCGATTGTGAAGCCCAGGAATTTAACTTCAAACTGAGTTTTGCCCAGAGGCTTAATATCTAGAATCCCTTGACTCTGCCCTTTCTTGTACACCCCACATCGAACCCTGCGGCAAAGTCAGGGGCTCTACCTTCAAAATAGGTCAAATCCAACCACTTCCCATCTTCTCCCCGCTGCCACCCTGGTCTAGCCACTGCCGTGTCATCCCTGGGTTATACTATCGGCCGCCTCCTGGGTCTCCCTGCTTCTGTCCTTGCCTGGAACACCTCAGCCTCTCCAGAGCATTTTCTTCATGGCAGCCAGGGAAGTCCTGTTGAAACTGTAACTCAGAGCTGGCAGTCTTTTGCTCAGACCCTTCTAGAAGCTTCTCATTTCACCCTGAATAAAAACCCTACTATAACTGACAAGAATCTGCCTGCTGTGGCCTCTCATACTTCCCCCTCCTGCCCCCTCACTCTGCTCCAGTGACACCGGCCCCATGGCTGTTCTGGAACCTTCCAGACACCCCAGCTTCAGGGGCTTTGCACTGGCTGTGCCCTCTGCCTGGGACGCTCTTTCCTGTGTCATTGCTACACAGCTTACTCCCCCGCCACCTGCTCCTTACGCAACACTGACTCCACCCCTCTCAATCCTGTTACCCTGTTTGCCTTTTTTTCAACAGCACTTTCATCTTCTAATGTACCATATGCTTTACACATTAATTACATGTACTTTTTTGTCCTCTGTCTCTGATACAGGGATATAATTTCCATGAAGAATTCACAGCATTTGCTGTGTGTCCCCGGCACCTATAACAGTGCCTGGCGTACATAGCAGGCCACAACAAATACGTGACAAATGAGTGGATATGCTGATGGTCCCCCTTACCCAGTGGCCATTGAAGGAAGCGTAGGGTCCCCCACTGAGTACAGTTTGAAAAACTATATTAGACCCACTTGGAATTCCTGTTCGCTGAGTGAGGTCTTAAGACACACCTTCTCCCCACCTCCACACCACCCTCCACACAGACTGCCTGTTCTGTCAGGGTCAAATGGGGAGGTATCTACACTCTGCTTTTGTCTCTGCTGGGCCTCTTGGGAGGGGCCATAGCTCTGGGTGTCTGAGGCCCGTGTGCTCTCAACCCTGGCCAAAGGTAGGATGGGGTAGCGGGGGAATGGAGGCACTGGGTGGGGATGAGTAGTCACCAGAGGAGTTACCAGGAAGGAATGATAGGGGGCCTCCCACCTCTCTTCTCTCTTACCTCCCAGGCCAGAGGCTAGGGTCCTCATCAGCTCACTCGGGTCCTGTGCTTATTCTACAAACATGTGTCTAGTGACTGCTATGTGTGGGAAGCGTGCTGGGGCTGGGAGGCCATAGTGAGTGTCAGACACGATTCCAGGTCTCCGGCACCCCCATTATAATGTCGGAGAGACAAGGGAATGGCCACGGCAGTGCGGCCAGGCAAGGGGCGCTGTGCAAACACAGACCCCGGCTCTAAGGCCCGGGTGGGTGGGGGTCAGGGAAGCCTTCTCAGAGGGGTTTGTATGTGATGAGGCCTGAGAGAGAGTAAGAGACACTCAGGTAAAAAGAAGCAGGGAGAATGCTCAGAGAGAGGGAACAGCATGTGCAAAGGCTGAGAGGTGACAGCGAGCTTGGCATGTTCAGGGGATAGCTTGACATTTGGTCTGATTGCAGCAAGGAAGAAGGCTGGAGGCGTTGCCAGGGAACTGACAGTGAAGGGCCCGAGGGTGCCAGCGCCGCTGGGAATACATACTGTGGCCACTGGTGTAGTGCTGCAGCTTGTCCGTGTACTCCGAGTCGGCACGCTCAAACCCCCGTCTTCTGGAACAAGAGCAAAGGGCTGGAGCCACCTGGAGGCGCCCGGGGAGCTGGCAGCCACGGTAGGTGACAGGGAGAGGGTGGGCAGGCCCTTGAAACCACATCCCTGTCTGAGGCCTCCCTGCCTGCCCCTCGCCTAGCAGCCTCACCTGTCCCGGCCCTGCCCACCCCTTTCCACCTGTCCCACTTCAAGTCCAGGCTCACTATTTCCCCTGATCCCTCTCCAGCCAAGCCCCTTTCAAAGAGCAAAGCCATCTCTGGCTGTGGCCCCTGGCCCCAGAAACCTTGGGGCTTCTGTGCATCTGACCTTATGACCCAGTCCATTCTAAAGTGCGGAACTCTAAGGAAGAAGGGAGTCTCTCTCTGCATGTGCCCAGCAGAAGTCAGGGACCCAGGCCCACCTCCTGCCTTTGCACAGGCTGTGCCAGCCACATGGGGTGCTCTTCCCCCATCTCCTCCTGTCTGCGTCCCCTCCATCTTTCCAGCCGCCTCAGTCAGGGGGCCTTACCTGAGCTCCACAAGCTCCCATCTGACACTCTGCTTATGGCCCTATTCATGAAGGCGCCTCAACTCGTGCAACAGTAGGGCGACCTGCACTTCCTCTCCACCGCCCCCTCAGCTCCTAGCTTCCTGCAGCCCTCCTGCCCACCGTTCTGAGACATTCCTTACACTGAAGTGTTAGTGTCTCAGTGTGTCACCTCCTTGGATAGGGGACTTGTCAAGGGCAACGCCTAACCCAAAGGGATGGGCTGCTAGTGCTGGCCACTTAGGTGGTGGGAGGCCACTTGAGGGTACCCAGGCTGACCTGAGCCTCTCCTGCCCCTGTACGGATGGAAATGCCTCCTCCATCCACAAACACTGTTCAGGAGAGGCTGAACAGACGTGCAGCCAGGCCTGGAGCGGTGGGGGGGACGCCGACCCACCTGTTACACACAATGGCGATGACAACCACGGCAATGAGAAAGACCAGGGCAGCCGCCGAGGAGCCGATGATGAGAGGCAGCTTCTCCTGGATGCTTGTCTGGTACTCGGCTGGGGAGAAAGCACAGCACGGTGTTCTTGCCTGGCCCTGGGAGTCGTACCATTCCATCACCCTGCGGGGCCTCCTGGGATTCCAGGTTCTATTTCTGTTGCTCAGAGTACCTGTCACATGCTCAGGTGGGTAACTGGCTGTCATTTGCTCACAAGTAACCTTGAACAAGTCTATGAACTGCTCCAGCCCTCAATTTCTCATCTATAAAATGAACGTAATACCTGCATCTCAACATTGATATGGAAATCAACAACATATCAATTCTGTCAATAAACATATGGAGAGGCAGCTATAAGCACAGATTCTGTGGCCAGACTCCCTGGGTTTGAGTCCCAACAGCGCCATTTACTGTCTGTGTGATCTCTGGTAAAGCGGCTTACCAGTACTTCTCTGTGGCTCAGTTTTCTCATCTGTAAAGTGGGGAGAATCATACTGTCCATTTCACAGGGCTGTTGTATAAAGCACTTAGAACAACACGTGGCAGAAGTAAGCACTCAGTACTATTGTCACTGAGTGTTTTAAGGGTCGGTCACTGTGCTAAGTATGTTACGCACCTTGTTTGATTCCCAGTGATGCACTGCTTATATTACCCCATCTTACAGATGGGAAAGCTGAGACTTAGTGAGGTCACGATTTGCTTGAGGACACATAGTTAGAAAGTGCCCAAAGCCAGCACTTGAACACAGGCCTGTGCGACCCAAGGCTGTGGGTTTAAATGAGATAATGAGTAAAATGCACTCGGCCTCGTCCTGCCTCTTGGAAACCACTTAGAACATTCTCAGTGCCACCAATACCATCGTTGTATTTCATTTTATTATTATTCTCAGTTGTGTTCGAGACCAGACAGGGGATTGGCGAAGTCAGGGACAAGGTCAGTTCTGGGTCCTTAGTGCCGGCACACACTGGTTGAACCACTACAGAAAGGATGCTGGGGCAGTCCTCCAGCACCCACGGCACTAACACTCATCCGGCATGCAAGAGGGCTTAGCGAGGTGAAGACGCTGGCCGTGAGGAAGGGGGATTTTACAGAGAGGGTGATGCTGGAAGAGAGGGTGGCGTTGTGAGGGAGTGAAGCTGAAGCCAAGAAGGCACGCTGGAGCCTGGTCATAAGTGAAGCTGTCCTAGAGCTTGGCTGGTTGGTGGAAGGACCCCAGTCCCACAGAAATGACAACTCTAACTTTACCTGCTCTTTGGTGAGCACTGTGCATGCAGGGGACCTAGGGCCAACCCTGTGCCAGGTTCTGTACACTTAGCCCCATACTTATACTAGTTTGATGGTGATGACGACAAGGGGATCGTTGTTATCATCCCTATGTATAGATGAGAAAACAGTCTCAGGGAGGTAAAGTAAGTTGCTCAATTAGGGCTGAATCTCCACTGTAATTTCATTCTGTCAGGCATCAGAGCACACGCTCTTTAACTATGTTGCTCCTCAAAGATTATTAGAGCAGGAAGGGTACTTAGAAACCATGTGGTCCCAGGCTGAGAGGCACACGACACATGGGCTGCAACCTCCCATTCTCCTGCCCAAGGTGTACATGACTAATCCATCCCAGCACTTCTTCCTGTTGAACTCAGATGTGGCTTCAGAATTCTTCTCAGTCCAACTGCAAGTCATTGAAGTTGTGTATGGAAAGAATAGTTTTGCACTCTCAGGTTGAATACTATGCTTTCATTTTATAGATGAGAAAAATCTGGACCAGGGAATGGGTGTGATTTGCTTAGGCAACTCTGCAAGCGAGGGCTGAGCTCCCAGCAGTCATGGGGAAGGAAGTGCCCTGGCTGACGTGATGGTAACAGAGCATCATAATCCTTCCCAGCCCCAGAAACAGTGCCTCTATACATGGCTGTGCAGTTTGTCCAGGGCACAAAGGTTCCCAGCCAGGGGGAAAGGAGGGTGGACATTAAGTAGCAGGGGTGCATCTTCTAATTCACACAAAGGCACTTTGTAAGAATGGTGGCCCTAGAGTCTATTCTGTCTGTGGAGTCAGTGCCCTCCTCCTGCCCTCTAGACGCTTCTTACCTTCTGTCATGGTCTGGAAGTACATCTTGCCGCTGTAGCGCCCGTAGCCCGCCACGGTGCGTGCCCGCACCTGGAAGACATAGATGGCGCCGGCTTTGAGGCCCTGCACTGTGACCGTGTTGGTGGGGCTTTTTATGGCTGTGGCGTTGTACTCACTGAGCTCCTGCCGAGGAACAGAGAAGACAGTTAGCGAGATTGTTGCCCACTGTGGGTCCAGAGCCCACTGACCACTTCTGCCACACGAGGTGAGTCTGGCCACCCCAATCCTTCACTCCCTCCCTCCCAGTAACAGATTCACACAACCGCAGCTTTTGCATGTGATTTTGCAATGCTTCCCACAAAAGAAGGCAGAGTATATTTCTCCTCATGGATGCTGAGTTTGTCCACATGGCTTGCTTTGGCCATTGGAATATTCTAGAAGAGATGATGCACGCAGGGGTTTTACATGTGTCTGTTATTTTGCCTTGGCCTCTTTCATTCTGCCATCTGCCATGAGGGGGGCTTAACCTGGGTAACAGTTGGTTCCAGAGTAAGAAACGTAGAAAAGGCCTTGACCTAACTCCTAGAATGAAACAGGGCCACCTTGGCTGAGCCACAGACACAAACCTATGAAGAAGAACACCCACTTGTAGGTCACTGGGTTTTGGGGGCTGCATCACCTTAACAACAGTAATACACATACACTGAGTGGTCCCTGTGTGCAGTCCCTGGGGTCTAGACTGCGAGTTCTTGCCGACTGCAGGGAGGAGGCCCACATCATTCACTTCTGCATCCCTCTCGCTGCCCTGTGCTTTGCAGGATTAAGTGGAAGGACCCCGTCCAGCCGTAGCACGCTTGAGTCAGGCAAGAAAAGGGAAAATTATGCTCAAGGTCAGCTGAGCTCTTTAGGACTCAAAATCGTGCAGGAGCCGCCTCTCATGTTCATGTATTTGGGTGCCCAGGGCCTAATGTTCCCTCCTTTCAGAGATGCAGAACGTGGGTTCTGACTTCCTGAGCCCTGCCGGGGTGACCTGAGGAGCCTGGGACAGGACAAAGAGCCAGCTGCTGCAGTGGGGGTGGAGATGTGGCTGAACTGGATGCAAATGATTACCAGCCTAGTTGATGTTTGTTCAGGCATCTGTCAGCTGCCCAGCTAACCTTCCCCAGATATCCTCTCTGCATTAGGCTCCGGTCTGGGCACTGGGGACCAACAGAGGCTAAGCACAGGTCCTGGGAGAACCCAGTGCAGAAAAGCAAACAGTGTGGAGATCTTAACTCTTTGAGGATCCAGAGCCCCTCTGAGAAGCTAATGAAAAGCTATGAACCTTTAAGCAGAAAAACGCACACCTGATTGTACATGCCAATCATGTACATGTCAGGGATGCATAGAGCCCTTGAACACTCTCCTGAAACAATGAAATTCAATGTAAGCAATGTGATTACAGACAGTGATTGTAACTACTGTGCTATTATAGTGTGGAGGCTAAGATCAGGAACTGGAGCCAGACTTCCTGGGTTCAGATCCTCATTCTACTGCTTATTACCTTTGTGACCTTGGGTTAAGTTCCTTAATTTCTCTAGGCCCCCTTTTCTTCCTCTGCAAAATGGGGATAATAATAATAATAGCTACCTTGAGTTGTTTAGGGGATGGAATGAATTAATATGTATAGAATGTTCCCAGGGGTAGGGCAAGCACAATGAGGTGAGCGGGGCGTGTGACCTGGCCTGGGTGGGGGACATCAGGTGAGGTCAAGGAATGTTCCCCGGACAGTGGGGACAAATGGAGCGGAATTTTAGGCAACAAACAGAAGCCCCCCAGGCAAAGAAGGGGATGGGCATTCTGGGCAAGGAGCAGCAGGTGCAAAGGTCAGGAAGTGAGGAAGAGCCCGGGATGTGGGGGCTGGGGGGAGCTGACCTGTGAGTGCTCCCTCCCCTGCCCCATACCTGGAGGCGGCAGGCAGGGAGCCTCTTCTCCTTTGCCAGGTCCCCTGCCCCCTCCTCCAGGAAGCCTCCTTGACCTCCAAGCCAGATATGTCCCCTCCCTCTGAGCCCTGGAGCACTTGCTGTGGGTGCAGGGCGGTGGGGGGATCTGCTACGTCCCCTTGCCCTGGCCCCAGGCTCCTCTCATTCCCTTGACTGTCAGCTCCTGAGGGATGGCGTTGCGTTTTGTTCCCCTGCCCCAAGCACAGTGTCCGGCATGCAGGGGCCTTCCGTAACACCCACGGGATGGAGGCTGTCCTCCTCGGCCTGGCATGCCAGACCCTCCCTGACCCGCCCTCTGTCCGTCTCTCCTGCCACATCCCCAGTGTCCTCTGGGCTCTGGTTATGTGCAACCTTTACTTCCCCTTTCCCTGGTAGAGTCACCAGAGTTAGCCAATAAGAGTATAGGATGCTCAGTTAAATTTGAGTTTCAGATGAATAATTTTTAGTATAAGTATGTCCTATGCAATCTTTGATATACACTTAGAGTAAAACTTACTAAAAAAAATTCAAATGTAACCCTGATGTCCTATATTTTATTTTGCAACCCTACCTTCCCTGGATGCTCTGAGCCTTTGCAAGTGCTGCTGCCCTGTCTTTCCTCCTCTCCCTGGCAGCTCCCCGCTCATTGCTCTGGCTGGGGCAGACTTCCCAGCTACCCCAGCCAGAGGTTGCAGGTCTACTGTCTCCTCTCCCACCTATTGTGCTGAGATAAGGAATGAGAGTTCCTGAGGGCAGAGACCTTATCTCATTCATCTCTGGGACCCCCAGGCTCCCCACACTGTAGGTCATTGCTCATGTAGGTGCTCGCTAACTACTTGACCTAACGAATGAGGTAAGACTTTTCACAATCTATGAACCCAGGATGCACTACCAAGCTTGGCCACTAAGTGCCGCCGTCTAACATGGGATCTGCTCCAGCTTGGGAAAGGGATGGATTCTGCAGACTGGGTGGGTGCCCACTTAGGCTGCAAGTTTTAAGTTCCTTATTATACAAGGGAGATGGGAGATAGCTGCCAGAGGCATAGGTGCCTTGGGAGAAAGAAGAACAATCTGAGTGGATCCCTTCTCCAATGTGGGCCAAAGGACCCAGCAGGGGATTGGAAGTTATTTCAAAGGCCGGTTCTTCCACTGGCTTGCATTGTGACTTGGGGAAGATTCTTCATTTCCTTGAGCCCTGTTTTCTATTCCAGAAAATGAAACCATAAATTCCAACTGCTCAGGGCTGTTGTGAAAATAAAATGTGATCAGTTAGTCCCTGGCACAAAGGAGCTGATGTAGAGCCATCAATTTCCTTCTCGCCCCACCCTCCAAACCCCTCACTCCCACCAAGAGTACCCTTATGTGACTAAGGATTAAGCACCAAGGGGCTAGAGGAAGGAATTTAGTATGAAATTCTAATCCTTTGCTAATCTTTCGTTTGAGTCCTTACCCAGACACTAAGGGCCAAAGAAACAGTGGGTGCGTTGCTTAAGCCTGATGAGCCTCAGTTTTCTCATCTCTAAAGTGGGATAACACCACCATATACCACACACAGTGGTTGTAGAGATTTAGTAGGAAATAACGGGTAAAGCTTTTAGCACAGTTCCTAGCCCTAATAACTTTTGGCTGTCACCATTGTTGTTATCACCAACGTTCCTTACATGGATGAATGAATGCAAGAGTGAATGAATGAGTGAACAAACCTCCCTGTGTAGATACTGCTCCCTGTACACCGAGCCACACCCGGAGTGCAGCCTGGATGTTCGTTCAACAACCCCTCCCCCCAGCCCCCACCGCCCTGCTGAAGCTTTGCTCCCTCTGCCTGGAATGTCCTTTCCATTCACTTCTGCCAAGTAGAAATGTCTGTTGAATAAATGCATAAATTGAGGTGGCCTACAAGGGCCTATCTGCCATAGGTGGCCACACAAATGACTCTTCTTCTTGAGCTCTTAGGGAGCCAAAGGGGACATGAACCCATGCTTGGAGCAGCTGCCAAAGGAGGCCACCTCCTCCAGGCTGCTGGAACCGGTGGAAAAGGCCAGCCCTGGTCTAGCTGACACCGTTCATCAGCAGCCTCTTGAAGACTTCCAGCAAAGTGGCTGTCAGCTCTGGGCTCCGGCAAGGCTGGGAAATCCCAGTGAAGCTGGGGAGAGGCCAAATGGAGAGCCCGCTCCAAAAGAGCCCTTTCTAAAGAAGGAAAGGCAAAGTAGGAAAGGAGGTAGGGGTGGGGCCCACACGGGGCTGCAGTGCTCAGCAGCTAACTTCCCTACTTGCGAAGATCTAGAGCATTCATTAAATAAATCAATTGCAGGCACCAGGGGGATTCTGAAGTGTTAGGTGAGAGGGCTGCGGACTTGTGGGAAATAAATCTCGCCACTTGCAGCCTGGCTGTCCCTCCCTGAAGGTTGGGGCTGACTCAGGAACACAGAGGTGGTGGCTGGGATGTCAGAGCCTCACCTGAGAGGTCAGGGACAGAAACTACTCCTGCTTCTCCTCCTACCCCTTTGCTGGCATCTCCTCTGACACTTTGACCAACTCTTTTTCTTCCGCGCCTTAAATCTTGCCATTCTCCTGGATCCTGTCCTTCCACCCTGTTCTTTCTCCACACACTCTCCTGTCTGTTCTTGGCTACATTTCCCCACTCCTGGCAAGCACCACACCTACACCTGCAAATCACAGTCCCGTATCTGCCCCGGGAAAAGACATCACCATCTACTGGGAGTTGGCTACCACCTTTCCCTGGTCCTCTGAGTTTCAGAATAATTGTCTGAATCTGTCAGTTTCTCACCATCTCTGCTGCCAACTTTGCCACTCCATGCCACCATTATTTCTCACTTGGTGCCCCATGAGAGCCCTGCCCAGGGTCTACCTGTGTTCCTGGGATCCCTTGTAGTCTACTCTCCACAAAGCAAGCCACAGGAATCTTTAAAGTAATCTGAGTCAGATCGCATCATTCCAAAACCTTCTGATGGCTTCCTATGGTACTTTAAATTGAATCCAGACTCCAAAGGCCTAGAAGGTCCACTACAACCAGCCTGGCCTCCCTCTCCAAACTCCACCCCTACCGATCTCTCCCTTGTTCATGTTGTCCCTGCCACACTTGCCTTCTCTGTTCCCCAAGTGCAGCCAGCACATTCATGCCCCCGGGCTTTTGTACATGCTGTCCTTGCCACTTGGAATGACCCTGTTCCCATCACCTGTCTGTCTGGTGAACTCCTAGAATCTTTCAAGGCTCAGCACAAATATCATCTGAACGAAGATTTCCTTTCACTTACGCCAGGATTATGGGCTCCTCCTTAGTGCCCCCATGGGACCTCTGCTGGCCTTTCTGTGGCTTGTATCACATCTTGTCTAATGGTTATTTGTGTCTGAATCTGATTTTTCCCCTGGACTGTGAAGGGAAGGCCTCCAGGCATGTCTGATTACTCCTGGTATTCCAGGTACCCAGTCCAAAGTTGGCGACAGTGAATGTTGAATCAACCAGTGTCCATCTCCCCACTGGCAGGCACCAGGCTGCCTCTTTCTGCACCCAGGCCCTGGGAGGAGGGACTGATAGAAGCAGAGCCATATCTCTCACAGCCATATCTCAGGCCTGTCCATCTCTCGTCATTTATGCTGAAAATACTTCATCAGAGCCTGGTCCTATCCATCTCTTAAAGGTTATCCAGAAGCATCTCTGGGAGAAAACTGGGAGGCAGGAGAGCCAAATGAAGAGTAAGAACAAGGGTCCAAATCCCTGCTCTGCCACTTAGCAGCTGGGTGCTCTTGGACAAGTTACACAGTTGCTCTGTGCCTCGATTAACCTTCCTGCCCAATGGGGTGAATAGCAACGCTAAGAGAATGAATGAGATAATGGAAGCGATGTGCTTCGCACATAGTGAGCACTGAGGAAACGTGAGCAGGTGACAACTGTAGCTGCTGCAAGGCCCGCTGGTCCTCCACTTCTGGCATGGGCCTGGGGATGCCCAGGCAGTGGCTGAAAGTAGGGCAGAGCTGCCTCCTGGTTCACACCTCCATCAGCCACCCCACTCCCTCCCGTCTCCGTAGGAAATGGGTCGTGGGCAGGACCTGGGCCGGGATTCCTCATTTCCGATCCTGTCTTTGGGGACAAACACTTTCGGTTTCATTTAATCATAAAGCTTCTTAATTAGCTTTTTTTTTCCTTTTTGAATTCTGAGCTGCTAAGCTATCCCCGCCAGAGGAAGTGGACATGATTGCTCCTGCAGGGCGTGGGACTTCCTGGGCCTGGCCGCTGCTGGTCCCGCTACCTGGGATGCCCGGCCCCTTCAAGGCCCTCCTCGGCCCAGCAAGGGGTGGATCAGCGTCCCTCACATCATCCCCTGGGGACACAGCAGACAAAAGGCAAGGTCTCCACCCTTGAGGAACACGCCAGGGAAGGGATTCATCACTTACTCATTCAACCAACATTTATCAAGTTTCTCCTCGGTGCCAGGCCCAGGGTGCTGGGAGAGTGTGGTGAAAGGGATAGATGTGGTCCCTGGCTGCTAGGAATGCATTCCCAAGAGAAGGGAAGGAGCAAGGAAACAATCATAAACCAGCTGAGTGAGGCTGAAGAGGCATGTAATGGACCCCTGAGACTTGCCAGGGTTTGGGCGATGCAGCAGCTACTGGGGGTGGGGTGGGGTGGAGGAAGGGCCTGGCTGGGCCACAGAAGGCAGAGCTCCAGCGGGGCTGGCTGGTCCTATCTCCACCTCATTTCCTCTCAGCCTTAGGGAGAGCCTTTCCATCCCTTTCCAGTTCCTGGTGGACTTGGCTTCAACTAAAGCACTTTTTATAGTCATTTACACCTTAGTCTGAAAGGGATTTCAGGGGCCCCTGCAGCCTCTGTGGCTGTTTGTGCTCAGGGAGCAGGTAAGAAAAGCCACCAGTCAAAGGAGAGACTTCTGGGCCTCCGATGTCCAGCTGCTCTGTCCTGGCCCCCGTGCTGTGCAGGCCTCACATTCAGGTGTGCTCAGCTCCCCGGGCCTCGTGTTGTGTAGCCCCTGGCCACTGTGTGGCAGGCAGGGCAGAAGAGGGAGGGAGGGAAAGCACGCTCCACTTTGTTGAGGGCCAGGTGTCCTACTGGACACTATTCCTGCTTTTTCTCTTTGACCCGCACAGCCCCCTTGTAAGAGAGGTGGTCTCATTGACCCTTGACACAGGAGGAAACTGAGGTTCAGAGAAGAAAGATGCCTGCCCAAGGTCACAGAGCTCGCTATGGATGGAGCTAGAATTTGCCCCTTTGGCTTCTCACTTCCAGTCCAGGGCCCCTTCTACTATACCAGCGGCTTCCAGCGTTGTGCCCCTGGCTCCTAGAGGTTCTTGCAGGGAGTCACGAGGGTCTGTTTTAAAAGCTCAGAGGGAAAGCACTCTGTGTCCATATGAAGAACACTCAGGCAAATGGAAACAAGGGTTTTCAGCTGGAATCAGAGCAACACCGGAGGATGCGCCACTCTCTGAGCAGAAACTCTCTTGAGCAGTTTCAACTCTCTGCTTTGGAATGGGTGAATGGCCAAATATTGCTTAGTAGATGCAGCTTTTTGGAAATCCAGTTCTTTTAGAACTTCAGGACACCTGAAGTCAAGATGCAGGGATCCTGGTGGGGAAAGGGCGGTGGCCACTGCATTTTAGAGATTGCTGGCCTGGTCCCCCAGACCGGAAACGCAAGACTCAGAGAGGTCAAGGCTCCCGCCTGAGGTCTCACAGCCACGGAGGAGTGAAGCTAGAATTAGGAGGCCTTACTCTGAGGCCAGTGCTCTTTCTGCTTCACGGGTGTGTCTCGTCTTGCAGGAGAGTAGGACCCTAGGCCCCAGCCTGGGAGGGGCCATCAGAGAGGTGGGGGTGGGGAGAGCTCCAGGAGCCTAGGTACCTTCTCATAGTACTGCAGCTCATAGTCCAGGATGACGCCGTTGGGCTGGTCGGGCTGGGACCACGACAGGGTGATGCTGTCCACTGTGCGGCTCACCTGGTGCATGATGGACACAGCCGATGGAGCTAGAAGAGAGGTCAGAGGTCAGGGTTTGGGGCGGGCATGACAGGGTGCCCAGAGGGAGCTGTGGGGCCAGGCAGAGGAAACACCTAGTGGGGGCCACACACCCTGGGGAGCCGACAGGGTGCAGACGGACCCATGCAGGGCCACAGGTGTGTTCACTGTGGGACTCGGCCAAGGCGATCCAGTCCCAAGAAGGGACGCTGTTCCTTCGCCCCTTTCCCTGTGATTTCACCTTCCAACAATGAAGAAAAGTGGTCGGATGTATCCCCAAAGATTACTGCCCTTTTCAAACTTGAGGGACATAAGCAGATTTGTGGAAACACACACTGCTGGGCACCACCCCCTGCCCAGAGATTCTGACTCCACAGGTCTGTGGTGGGGCCTGAGAGCCTGCAGTTGCAACAAGCCCCAGGTGCTGCTCATGTTGCTGGCCGGTGGACCCCACTGGGAACAGCAGATTAAGAGCCAGAGAAGGGAAGCGACTTTTCCAAGGTCACCTAGCAGGTAGTGATGGGGCCAGGGCCAGAGCCCAGAGCAGCTAGTCTCGTCTGTTTTCTACCCACTATGCTGCCTCTCACAGCCTGGCCTTGGCCCTGAGATTGCCCCTCTAACTGCTCAGCCTAACCTGTTCCTGGGGCTCTGAGGCTCAGGTAGCCTTGAAAGAGGGGTTCAAGTAGTTCCAAGAGGCTCAGGGCTGAGGCGGCCGAGCAGGTGGCCCAGGCCTCCAGGCCGAGGAGCTCGCCTGGTTGGGAGGCACCGGAGAGCCACGGAAGGACGGCGGTAGGGATGGAAACCTCTCCTCCAAAACACAAGCTGTCGTCAAGCTTGTCATCTTGACAACCCCGGTTGTCCGGTGATGCTCAGCATACACGTGCGTGCGTGCGCACACAAGCACATGAAGCCCCCACAGCTAACACCTAACACTTCCTTGTTCACTCTACGCCGGGTTCTTTTCCAAATGTTTTATGTTAGTTAACTCATTTAACCATTACATCAACCCCATGAGGCTGCTGTTATTATTATACCCATTTTATGGACGAGGAAAGGGAGGCACTGAAGTATGAACTACTTTGACCAAAGCCACCCTCTTAGAAAGCAATGGAGCTGGGATTTGAGTCCAGGGCCACCTGGGTCCCACATATCCTTTCCCGCCAGCAGCTGTGGCTGATGCTGGCTGACCGGGGAGGTCTGTGAAGCAGTGGACCCCAGAGGGCTCCGAGGACACCCTGGTCCACATCCCATCCTGTTGCTGCAAAGCTAACTTCAACAGGCTCCTGCTGACTCACCTCACCCACCACCCACCCGGCCCCGGCCCTGGCTCCAGCTCAGCTGTTTGCGGGGGCAGGCCCCACGCGGCCATGGGGGTCTGGGCCCGGTGGGCTTAGCTGACAGACTTGGGTTACAGGCAGCTAACCCGGCTCTGATCCTGTAAGCTCCGTGTCCCTGGGTGTGGCAAGGAGGCGGCATTACTGGGAAGATGATCAAGGCGGGCGTAGGGTGGCCAAGCAGGGCTGGTCTTTCTCCCGGAATCCAGGAGGATTAAGAGCAGAGAAAAGGGAACAGCTGGATGTTCTCCTGTCCCTCCTGCCGCCTGCTGCCCACCCTGGGGTGTCGGGTTTCCCTGTAAGTTGGTCTTCAGGGAATTCTGGTATTTTCAATTACCAGCCGGGCATGCCGGCAGGGCGATGGGGTCAGCGATGTCCTGTGACCCCTGCGAGGAGATGGAGCCCCAGGGAGCAAGCACAAAAGAGGCTTGTGGCGAGAGGGGAAGGGGGAGGCCAGCCAGGCGGGGCCTGCTTGGTTGGAGCAGGTGGTCAGGGGCCCTGCTGCCTCCAGCGAGCCCTGGGGGAGCATCCTGTCCCTTCATTAGCTGAGACTTCTGAGGGTGCCTCCGTTTCCCCCTCAGGGCATGGTCTCTAAGGGCCTTCTGGGATCAGGATCCCTTCACAGGCAGGAAGTCTGAATGCCTATGACCTTCACCCTGCTCAGCTTTGCCTTCAAAGCCCGAGAGCCCTGGGCTCTGAGGAATGAAGGAGACCCCTACACTCAGCCTTTACTCTTTCACCAGTCAGAAGACCCCATGAGCTTAGAGAGAGCAGGAGGTCGCTGGGCATTGGGCAGTCTGGGACTTCAGACTCTCAGATCCTGCAGCCTCTCTGTCATCTTCACTCCCGCTGAGAGTCCTCAGCGGCTTCCTGCTGCACCTGGGTAACACACAGCTGCTCCACATGGCCCACAAGGCCCACCTGCCTGGGGCCTGTCACCTCCTGCCACGCACCCCCTCGCTCCCAAGCATCATCCACAGTGGCCGCCTTTCTGTTCCGAATCATACCAAAGGCATTCCTTTCTCAGGGTCTTGGCCTCAAGGTGATTCTACTTGGTAACCTCTTCCCCTGAATCTTCCAGGGCCAGCTCCTCCTCTTCATTCAGCTCTCAGCTAAACCGCTGCCTCCCCCAGGAGGCCCTCCCTGACTTCCCCTCCACCTGACTACCTGCCACAGTCACTCACCACCTCACACCTTCTTTCTTTTCTTTGTAGTGCTAACATTATGTGAGGGGAGGGACCTGGTCTTTTATTCAGTCCTTTATTCCTAGGCCTGGAACAGTGTGTGGTTTAGAGTAGGTGCGTGGTGGTTGATATTTACTGAAGGAAGGAAGGAAAAGCAGGCTCTCACCTTTTTTAGTACCTTGAGGTTTAGTACCATTGACCTTGGAGCCAGACCCTGGAGCAAAGGCTTCTGGTCATAGCCAGGGGAAGAGTGTGTGGCTTGTATGACAGTCACTAACAATTCGCTCCCCCTCAGACCCTTGTGTCTACCTGAGACCTGACCCGCTGCCGTGACATGGGGCTTCTTGCGGACCAGCCATCCTGCAATACCACATCCCACGTCCATCACTGTCCAGGGTCTGCAGCAGGAATACTTGGCCCCGCACAGGACTCCTAGAGCTTCTGGTTGGTAACAGGATAGCTGTTTGGAGTGTTTGTCTCTTAAACCTGGAGCAATGCTGTTAACTCTCAATGATCTGACTGCAGTTCTGGGTGACGGGACCATAATTTACACAAATGAAACTTTCAAAAATGGGCCTCGGCTTCTTTCTGATTGGACCAAAGTTCTTGGAGAGTTGTATGGGACACAATAAAGGAAAAGCTGAGAACTAGTGTGAGGGTGGCGCTTTTCTGTGAAGAAAAGATGTTCTGTGGCCAAGAAAGTGTGAGATACACAGAGTTCCGGACCCCAGCTTGTGAGTCTCACGCTGCACACTCTCTCGTAAAGGCGCTGAGACGTCCTGCAGGGGAGAGAGCTGGCTTAACCTGGAGGCCTAAGTGCCATTTGGCTTCAAAACCCTTTTTTCACATCCTAGTTATGAATGTCTTTTAGAACCAGTGATCTGTGGAACACATTTTGGGAGAAAAAACAAAACAAAATCAACAACAAAAATGGGTCCAGGAGATTTTGTATTTCTTTCTTGAACCTGGGCAAAGCTCCTGTCTAAGGTGGCAATCGGCTATTCCTCCACTTGTTCATTCTTCCCTTAATTCGGTGTAGATTTACCGGCGGCCACAAAAGCAGATGGAGGAGGGGTCAACCACCTCATTTTACAGATGAGGAAACGAGAGTCGGATCGAGTCCCTTGCCCAGAGTGCCTCAGCTCACAGGCGGCAGTGCTGCGGTCGGGACCAGGTGGGGACTGGGCTGGCTTTTCCTCCCCCTGATTGCCTGGCCCTGCCTGCAGGTGGGACTTGAGCGGGCAGACGCCCGGCCCTGGGCTGGGTGCTGTGGACACATCTAATCGCCCACCTTCTGGTGGGCTGCTGAACGGCCTCAATCCCACCTGTGGCTGCCGGGGGAACCCAGTCCCACTCAGCACTGGGATTAGCAAGATGGCAAGAGCCTGGGCCTCAAATCAGGATGCCCAGACAACCTACCTCACCCTTTGTGCCTCAGTTTCTCCTCTGTAGAATGAGGACATTGGCAGGGATGTTGGGAGGTTAAATGAAGACCTGAATATAATGAACTTGGCCCAGAGCAAGGGGTCAGGGGATGTCAGCCACAGGTAGCTGTCTGGGCCACCAGACCCTCAAAGAGCAGTGTGAGCGGCTGAATGTTCAGCGGAGGCTCTTGAGAGGGGGTGGTAATGGTGGTGCTGGGGAGAGGAGGCAGCATTCAGGGTTTGGATCCCATGTCTCTTATGGACAGGTGATTGTGCGGCCTCAGGCACGTTACTTCTCTCTTTGAGCCCAAGTTCCTCAGCTGTAAAATGGGATATGGCAGAGACTACTCACTGCCGATCAAATACCCATTCTGTCTTTCTCAAATTAACAAAACCCTGGTAGGCACCTTGTGCCCAAATAAAAAACTACATTTTCCCCAAACTCTGGCAGCTAGAAGTGGGAGTATTACAAGCTAGAAGTGCTTGTCTATAATATAAGCTGAAGTGTGTGACTTCTAGGAAGTCTTCTTCAAAGGGAGGAGTCCTACCCTTCTCACTCTCCTTCCATTCTGCTGCCCAGGACATTGGAAGTGATAGCTGGAGCTCTTGCAGCCATTTTGGCCCACAAGGATAAAAAAAGCTGTGCACTGAGAAGCCTGGATTCCTGATGACTCCATGGAGTTGCCCCAACTCCTATCTCGTGACATCCTTTACACATAAGAAAAACTAACCTCCATTTTGTCTAAGCCACTAGGGTAGATTGGTTGTGTTAGTTACCTCCCTATATCTACGCCCTTTGCTCTGTAACTCGTGTAGTCCCTAGTGGCTCTGCTCTGGGCCTGGCCATGTGACTTGCTTTGGCCAATGGGATATAAGCAAATACGCTATAAGCAGAGGCTTGAGAAAGCCCTTTGCATGTATCTGCCACTGTCTTGGTTTCCTGTGATTGCCCAAGCAAGAACATGCCCAGGCTGAGCTGCTGGAGGCCGAGACACATGGAGCAGAGTTGTTGTCCCAGTTGTCTCGGCCAGGGCCACTCCTAACCAGCTGACAGCAGTCAACCCCAAAC